GGGTTAGGCCACACCCCATTAACTTACGTTCGAAGCATTCAAATAACCGTTTTTTATCTTTGCTACTACTAACCTTCTTTTCTACATAGAGGATTCTATCCAAATCGTTTGTTTCAGGGAAAAATAGAATCGTTTTCCTTACCCAGTCAAACAGCAAATACTGCGAAAGCAGTGGGTTACGATAACATCTGAGCGTGCTCTACTAGATGAATCGTGAGGGAAAACGGCAAGAATATATGCATTCGGTAGCCTAGACCTCGTTATTTTCACAGAAATGATTTTAGCTCGACTGGTTTTTTCTACTGTGAGATATTTGAATCGAAAAATTGGACAAACGAGATTTGACTTGCTATCAATTCCACAGTTTGGCAATTGGGCAAAGAAGGAGTAGTGCTTTTTACAGAGTGCAAAAAGAGTTGGTTGGTGCAGAGTTAATCGTGGTCGAAAATGACCATTTCATTAGGAGGTTTAGTATCTGCAGACTTCAGAATTCGCTCAAACTTGGTCCACAAGGGTTATTTGACATGCTACTTATGCATTATCACTCATTATGCTTGGTGTGGGGGGGGGGGGGTATTATGCTACGGTAGGTATAATGACAAGTTAATATCTAATGTGCTTTATTTCGCATACTGGAATTATCTGGCAAAATGTTTACCAGTATCATGTGATGTGGCTATTACGAGGTATTATTGTCGCTATTGTCGCTATAATCGGTATTTGACGACGCCATTCCCCATATTTTCGATAGTCTAGAGACAGGACGTCAAGTGAAGGTTGTTTGACCATCTAACCTCAAAAAAAGTGAACGTTGTAAGAAGATGAGAGAAGAGAATATGACGTAAAACAGATTAAAAAAGCAAAAGATGTTGCTGAAAACCGGATAAAAACGCTACAAAGAAGTTTGAAACCTTTTAATGGCTGCTTTTCAAAGTGCAAGTCGCCCCAGGACCAGCAATTCTCAACACGGGGGAAAACGATGATGAAAAGCTAATTTTTTGCGATTGTTTCAAAAAAACATGTTTCGGAAGTAATGGTTATCAAGAAGAAGATAAGCAAGAAAGAAATTAGTTATGAAAACGCAAAGTTTCTTCTTTACTAAATCGAAATGTACGTGGAAGCCGGATTTAATTTTTTTATGCGTCTTTTGGATTTTTACCCCGCACCGACGTTCCTGTTTCCTGGGACGTTGTCTGGATTGTTGCGCTTATTGTTCTGAGCAACAATCGCCAAGAAAATCGAAAATTGGAAAGAAATCGCTGCGAAAGCACTGAAACGGAACAAGGTAAAAAAACGCTTTTTTTACGATTTTTTGCAAAAAATTACCCCATAATCGGAGAGATAAGCACTGGGTGGTTGCCTGCATTATGAACAGAAGCAAGATCTATAGAATGAAGAAAAAACCGCGTGAAAAGAGTGAACTAGGAGAAGAACAGAAGATTTTCGAAAACGGTTTTTGCCAGATTTCTCAATCAAATCAAAGGTGTGGATTTGGGAAATTACCATCGTGAAAATAGAGATCAAGAGCCTCAAAATGATATATAGCTTGCTAAAATCGGGTTCACAGCAAAGAAAAGGGTACCAAAGCCAAATGCCCCGCGCCCCGCGTTTGAGGTAGCGAGGTAGCGCGCAGCGCGCGGAAACGCAGACGAGCAGCGGAGACAGCCCAGAGCCGACGGGGCATTTGGCCCTGGTCGTAGATCTCCGCGGGGTCTCAACGAAACCCTGCAACATTATATATCATTCTGATCTTCACGACACGACAAGAAGCACAGACAACGTCCAAGCTTTGCAATACAATCATTAGCGAGATAGGGCAGCGTTTTCGTGCGTCACTCTCTGCGCAAGAATTAAGAGCAGTTTCTCGTTTTCATTTGATTCCAACAACTTTCTTAAACTTCTGAAACTCGATTTTGGTCAAATAAGAGGTTAACTGAGAAATGTTATCCTGTATTCTGGCGAAAATCCCACACAAACTTGTTTTTGCCGTAAAAAAGGCTATGAAAACGCAAACTCTCGGTTTCGCTGAGATAACCTAATGATATTATATTATTCCCTCTATTTGCTTCATTACATTCGTTCCGATACAGTCAGGATGATAACATCCGGTGCGAAGCCCCGGTTGACTTTCGTTTTTTCCCACATGAAGGTTGTGTCCCCCATAGCCCTCAAAGTGAAGGTTACAGTACTTGGCTCTAGGTATTGAGGGTATGCCCTTCCCTTTTTGACTCCTCAATACGATCCCCGAGGTGTGGCGTGCCATACCCCACGCTTTACCCTGATTATGTCTTTTCACTTGTATCCTCAAGCTCCCTCCAAGTTTTTGAGGTCCCAAAGCAAAAAGTGTCGTGAAGCGATAACACTGCGATTATGCCAGTCACCTGCAGTTTTCGATCAAAGAGATCGTAGGAACTGAAACTTGCGGGAAAGGACATAAACCCGGTGAATGGAATCAAATGCAGTGGTCATTAGGATAGCTGTTCAGGTAGGGAAGGGCAAAGGAGGAAAAGAAGTGTAGTTGACTGCACGCAATTGCCCGGGCTGAACGCCCGCGAGCGTCTCTCTTGCGGGTTAACATTGGCATTCGCGCGCATGAGTCATCATAGCGCCCGTACTCGACAGCCGCGTTACAGGTACGCTCGCGTGCGTTCAGCCTAGAGCGGCCCGGGCGAGTTCGTGCAGTCGAATGTATAGAAATTGAGTGTCGTTTGCACCGGCATCTCCATCTTCGCGCTGGACTCTGCGTCTCTTCCGCAGGGCTGCTCTCTCAGCACTTTCCCAGGGCGAGCGTGGGAAAAGCAGAGCATCAATTGATTGGAAGTGTTTAGAAAGCATGTACCGCAGAAGAGACGCAGAGCCCAGCGCGAAGATGGAGATGCTGGTGCAAACGACACTCGATTTGATAAGCCCTATACCACTACGGCAAACTGAGGCCTCATCCCGGCACCCCTTCAGTTACTGATCACGTAATCAACTGTTTATTATCGATAAGTAACTGGAATCTTGATATATGTGAGTTTACGAAAGTTTTCACTGGCCGTTTGGAGAGACTTTTTTGGCACCTCATCCGATCAAGTTGTCTGCCAGTAAAAAGCTTCTGCGTTAACCTTTCTCTTTCGAAAAAATTCTTGGGAATAAAAGTAATGGCTTATGCAAACTGAATGAGTTTGAAAGCCCATCCTGAAAACCAAAAAAGGGTATGAGCGCAGGCAGTCCTCGTTGGAGTTGGCTGGGTTTCATTAACTTCATGACCGCGCGAAAAAATCCTACTAAGCAAACTTCGAGTTGTAAAAGAGTCATACGTTATTTCTGGGAGTTACAAGCAAAAACAAGTTGCTTGTATCTAGACATTTTTTGTAATCTTTAAGTCACTTATTTCTTGACGTGGAACAATTTCTTTGTTGTTAGCAGGCGCTATCTCACCTTACGATTTGTAGGCAGCTCGTACCAGGGCTCGGCACGAGCTGGCACCAGGGAAATTTCAAAACGAAGTCCCGTTTGATATTGAAAATTTCGTACGAAGTTCCTTTTGACCTGTTTTGAGAACCCGTCATCATTTTTATATTATGTAAAAAATGTAGTAGTGTTTTATGCATTTCTGATTTCATGAAAGAACTTTTCACAGCTTTCTGAGCTTTTTAAGTGGTCGAATCACATCTTGAGAAGCAGAAAAAGCCGATTTTTCGATTGCGGAGCGGACCGAGTGGTTTTCAAATTGCTATGAAACGCTGAAAAGAGAACATTATGAAACGATTTCTTCTCCGTATGTAATCTTTTACAGCGTATGTACATTTTATGTAAAAAAGTATGAAAACTTATGTGAGCAAAGTGTCGGTGCCAGCTCAGCTGGCACCCAGCTGGCACGGTGCCAGCTAATTCAGAAAAAAGTTCGGCACAGCTTTCATTCACATAAGTTTTCATAAATTTTTGGCCCCTAGTTCCGGTCCACCAAGGCGCATGCACACACCAAATTTGGTGTCATACTATTGCGTTTTGGCTGAAAACAACGCCTTTGTTTGTTGATGGACAGCTTGCCAATGGCATGCCGGTGGCATGCCAGCGGCATTTTTGCAACAGTTCTCCGCCTCGGCCCCTGTAGAAACGATATCCCCTTTGCTTTCCGCCCTAAAAACGATATCCAGCTTGACCCGGTGCCAGCTGTGCCGAGCCCTGGCTCGTACGCTTGCCTTTATGTAGAACTTCTCACAGCTCGAGAAAGAGGAAAATATCAACGAACAAGTCAACGTGACGCTCTTAATCTTACTATTTCTTACCTTTCACAAATCCTAAAATCCTTTGAAGGCAGCGTCCGGGCAAATCTGGACATATGGTCTCACGTGGATAGTGATTTTGGGGCTCTAACTAAGCCACTGCTCAACCGGCAGCTTAGGTAGTGCGCTAACGGCTGAGATATTTCCCTCGAAACTGGACCCCAGAATCGTCTTTCGTATGGATTACGATAAAATTACTTTCCACGTAAAATCTCCATGGGTCCAGATTGGCCTGACGCTGCCTTCAACACATGGACGACAACGTGGCTCACATGGTGGGTCATGCAATGACTGCCACGTGGGACTATGTGACGCATATGGTGGGTCACGGCTCAAATTCTGTTAAAATGATAACAATTTCTGGGTAGGTCTGTTTCATTAGGTCTCTTACGCACTAACCCTAGAGGATACCTTGACGTTTCTTGGCTGCGTTCAAGAATTTGTTTAGGTATAGTTTAAATGATCTGCGTGATTTTAGCTAGAAATTTCTAACTTATGCGTGGTAGGCATTGTCCCACAAGGCGACAGCTAAAAATACGCGTTGTCGCGTGATAATCTGACATCATTAGCATCAGGAAACCGAAAAGTGCCCAGTTCTTTATCGGTACTCTTTTGAAATTTTGAGGCTATTTGGAATGGCAGCTCGTGATTGGTACCAGAAACGGTAAGCGCTCTCGGTGAAAATATTTTTTCAAGTTTGACCGCAAAAAATCGAAAGCACGTGTAGGTATGAAAGGTACTCCCAGGCATGGTATCTTCTTACATATAAAACTGAATGTCTGTCTGTCTGTTTGTCTGTCTGTCTGTATGCTGTCTGTGTGTACGTATGTTCCGAATAGAAAATTCCATTTCTGAACCGGTCCGGATCAAACTTGCCACACATACACTTCCGGCGAGGCGGGTGTCGTAGGCTACTTTTTGTTATCCGATATCGATTTGTTCGATTTTTTTGCAAAGATTGAGGTACGGGGCTGGGAGTCAGAACCCGGCACGTGTCGGTTTCTAGGGTTTCTGAAAACGAAATCTCCCCTAACTTTCGTAAGTTTTATGAAGTCCTTTTTGACCTACCTCCTTAGGAGAAGATAAAAATAAGAAAGACTTACTAGTGTGAAAGAAAATACGTAAGATAAGAGTGAAATTCAAATTGGAGCTGAATACTACGCGTGCGCAAGAGTTTGGCATTGGAGCGCGATATCTAACAAAGCGATATATGAAGAAATGAAGGCAAAAAACAAAGCAAAGGCAATGATATGAAAATAGCTTGAGCTTTGAGCTCAGAGATAGATTTTTGACGGGGAAATCCGTCCGTGATAGAAAAACCCAAAACTTATGTGAAATGACAGAAATATACCACCAGACGATCTCAGATCGTCTGTTGGCCGTCTGGAGACGATCTAATTTTGAAAAAGGTTTTACTTCACATAAGTTTTCAAATCTTTTTGCATAATTGTTTTGCAAATAATTTTCTATGTGTACAGTTCAGTTTTGGTGTCATATGATTCTGTGTGCGCTGAAAACAAGCAGTTTGTTTATCTTAGCTTCGCTTTCAAATCGCGCGCAATTTTCGCTATGCACGATAGAGCATGTCAATCGAGCGATAACCTGCCCGAAAAGCTTGTATTCGACTAAATGGCGCTTATTCTTGGTGCAGGGCCCCGACTTGTCAAAAACGATATCTCCTTTGCTTTTTGCTCCAAAAACGAAATCCAGCCTGCTTCCAGACGATCTAGCCATCTATGCCGAGCCCTGCTGGAAGTTGGCACAGGGGGGGGGGTAATCGAGCATGCTTATTACGAATACAAATTAGTTTTTGAAATCGTCCATTACTTTTATCGATTCATCGATTTTTTGCAAAGTTTGAGCTACGGGGCTGGGAGTTGGCACACGGGGGTAAGTGAGCATGCTGATTACTAACACAGCGGGAATAATTGGCATGTAGAAGTGGACACAGGGAAAAGTTGAGATAGCGACAGAGTAGAAATGGAAGCTTTATCATAGTCTTTTGGCAAGGCAGAGCCGGATAAAGTGCTATCCGCGCAATCGTCACGCCAGGCTTCGTGTCACGTTCGCGCGTATGGCTTGGACATATTGATTCTCTTCATCAGTTGGAGCTCCGCACGCCCTCGCGTCTCGAGTGCGTACTTTCTATGCAAAAGAAAGCGCTGATTTTCACAGACAGACTATAACTCTCTTTAGGTTGCCATACCTCACTGACCAAGCAAACGGGCCTACTCCCTTTCAACCACAGCGGCAACGTATGGGGCTGCACCAAAGTTACTGCCAAATATGCAGATATTCCTCAAGTGAAGAAGACCTTCGTCAGTAAGTCACTTTGTCCAAGCAGTAGTGTTGGCACAACGAGCGACATGCTGCTTATGATTATAGTAATACAATACATTTTATTCTTGCAAGAAATGTCACTGAAAGCATATCTGCGCTAAACAAGGTGAAGAGTTTCAGCTGCGAGAAACGTGCTTTTTATTTTGCAGATTTCTCATTTTCGTGTTTTACTTGGAAACATAAGGCTGTTCCACTTTCGCGCGACGCAACGCTGTTATATCTACCTAAAGTTGTCCATAATCGGAAGAGAGAGCAGCGGAGAAGCGGCGAGAGTGCACTGCACGGAAAAGTGTGAGTCCGCAATCACGCGGACAGCCTAAAGGCTGTTTCGCCCACAATTGGCCTGGAAAACCATGAATTGCGGCTGTACGCATGCTATCAGATTTGACGGAGACCAACATAGATACTTCGTATGCTTTTCTCTTTTCGTCGAGCGCTTTTCTCCGGTGTGCTTGCTCACCTAAGATGTTCTGAGTGTGTGCATGCCGATCGTGGGTTAGAATGTGTTGACATTTGATAGGGCAAAGCAAGTTCTACACTCGCGATTGTGATATTCACCATATTCACCTGGGAAACAGACCTCGCTACCGTCTTTGGGGGACTTGCATCGGTTTCATACTTTTGCGATGGGCTCACCGCCCTCGTACAATACCGCTCACATTTTTTGAAAAATAGACGCGAATGTATGGACATGTATGGACATGTACGGACATGTCCATACATGTCCATACATGTCCATACATTTATTTCTATTTTTTCATTCGCGTCTATTCTATTCATCCGTCTATTACTCATCAGCTGTTCTATTTCCTTTGAAAAGAAATCTTCGGCTACTATAAGTAGCCGCAGATTTCTTTTCGAAGGAAATAGAACAGCTGATGAGTTGTGGAAAAATCTTGTCGTCCCGAATTCTACTCGCCATAGCCCCAGGATACGAAGCTATCTTGGTAAGCAGATGTGAGTTTGTAATCAGCAGGTCGCATAACCTCTACGAGCAAGTTTTCCGATGTGTTCGGGTCATTTCATTTTTTCTTGTTTTACGCTCCGGAAGCTCGCCGATGGATTTTGGTCAAAATGTTGATGCTCTTGAATTGTAAGGAAACTTCGCTTATAGAGGTTTTCAAACACACTCTTTACGAAAATCGTGGTCCTTGAGGACCACAAGGTCTTTTTGGAGAGATACGGTGAGGTGACTGTAACTGCATCACGAAAGTGCTTAACTTTGCCCGCACTTCTCGCGTATGTGTCAAAAATCTTGCCTGCTTGCTTTTCTCTGTCAAAGTTACTAGGATTTCTACTACCGAATGGTGCATTACTCAGGCTCCAGTCGGTGAAATTCGCCGAGTTGTGAGCCTACGAAAACACGTCCTCATGAATTTTGCCCAAAATGTAAAGATCGCATATTTCGTCGAAATTCCTCCGTGAGCGCTGTACAACACGCTGATCAAATCCTTCCACATTTTTAATGGATATTATTGTGTTAGATTTGGTGCTTTGAGCTCTAGCCACGAAATAGCTTTGATATTCAATTGAGCAGCTGAAACACACGCACATCATATTCAATTAAGTGGGAGTCGTTGGAGACGAAGCGAACATAATATCTGCAACGAGCGCCATACAAGCGCTCACGGAGGAATTTCGACGAAATATGCGATCTTTACATTTTGGGCAAAATTCACGAGGACGTGTTTTCGTAGGCTCGTAACTCGGCGAATTTCACCGACTGGAGCCTGAGTAATGCACCATTCGATAGTAGAATTCCTAGTAACTTTGACTGAGAAAAGCAAGCAGGCAAGGTTTTCGACACTTACGCGAGAAGTGCGGGCAAAGTTAAGCACTTTCGTGATGCAGTTACAGTCACCTCACCGTATCTCTCCAAAAAGACCTTGTGGTCCTCAAGGACCACGATTTTCGTAAAGAGTGTGTTTGAAAACCTCTATAAGCGAAGTTTCCTTACAATTCAAGAGCATCAACATTTTGACCAAAATCCATCGGCGAGCTTCCGGAGCGTAAAACAAGAAAAAATGAAATGACCCGAACACATCGGAAAACTTGCTCGTAGAGGTTATGCGACCTGCTGATTTCGAAACTTACATCTGCTTACCAAGATAGCTTCGTATCCTGGGGCTATGGCGAGTAGAATTCGGGACGACAAGATTTTTCCACAACTCATCAGCTGTTCTATTTCCTTTGAAAAGAAATCTGCGACTACTATTTAGCACATCATATTCTACAGAAAAAGTGCTATCGAAAGATCCTTGCTGAAATGTACTCGGGACAATGCTCGCTGCATTACACCTTCGCGAAAAAGACGTCCTCAGAAAGATTCACGAATACTGAAATCGAAATATCAAGGACATGCTGTATATGAGAAGATTTGCCTTGATGAGCTGAGCAAGGCGCAGTTTTTGGATTCAAAATATACTTATTCCGAAGGAAATGGCGAGTAGAATTTAAAAACGCGTGATTTTTCCAAAATTCACCAACGCTTCTATCTCCTTTGTAAAGAAGTCTGAGCCTTTTTTTAGCGCACAATAATCTACGAGAACAGTGTTATCGAATAGTTCTCAGTAAAGTCTTCTATGTTGGGTAGGCGTAGCTTCACATATTCACGAAAGGACCTCCGCAGAACAAATTAAAAAAACAGGGAAACGGAATATCGAAGACATCGTACCCCCACTTCCAATATGTCATAAGATTCTCCGCGCCGAGCTGAATCGAATGGTGGCCTTGGATTCAGAATTCTTCCACTCTGAAGCGAAATATGGCCACGCGACGCTGATGTATGGACATGTCCGTACATGTCCATACATGTCCATACATTCGCGTCTGTTTTTCAAAAAATGTGAGCGGTATTGTATCGTCAATTTCTGCAGGCCGAGCAAGTCGTCCGCTGATTACGGTAGCGAATAAATGCGCCCTGAACACACTGGGCTTCGGATTACTTGAAATTTTTTTTTTGAGTTATCGATAATTGATCATGCTCGAAAGTCAAAATACAATAACGAATCTTGATAGTTTCAAAAGCAGAATTGCCGAGTACACGAATATCGAATATTTCACAAAATGAAGAATGTCGATCGATCGAATTTCGAATATTTTCAGAATAAAAAAGTTCCGGATAATCGAATATATTCGAGAGCGCGACGTTTTGAATAAACGATTGGGTGTCCTAAAAGTGAGTACACACTTACTGAACGTTATTACCTCTCTTCCCACAAGGTCTTTTGTTTTGCCTCAAAAACCATTCAGTAGAGCAGGCTTCTATTTAGGTTTACAGCAAGGAGCAAATCACCAGTCACTTTCCATGTAGGATTACGGTAGGAACTTCCAGCATACAGCGCCATTGTGAAATAAGCCGTTCGAAAGGAAAACCCCAGAAGAATGTGAAAAGTTGGGATCAGCGTTTTCCGATATGCTGATTCTATAAGAAAGCTTTTCACGAGTTTTTCAAACGTTTCAAATGACTTGATCACTAGAAAAAGACAGTGAAAAAAACGTTAATGCGGTTTCCTTGAAATAACTTATGAGGAGGTTGTACGATCAGGTGCAAACTTCATATTCATAATCAGCGACCGTTTAGCCTAATAGAAAAGAAGTTTTGAGCTTGCTGGGTATTTATTATAGACAAAATACAGCTACTAATGGCTTAAAACCCCCTTCAAGGTTTCTACCGTGATTCTACACTAATGAAGAGAGACGGGTGATCTGCTCTTCACTGTAAATCTAAGTTGAAACCTGCTCTGCTGAATGAATTAAGGATAAGAAAAATGCTTTGTGGGAAGAGAGTTATTAACGATCAATGAGTGTGTTTACTTTTAGGACACCCTGTATTTTATACCGACTATGTCGAATCAAACAAAAATTTCATCGAGGCACAATGAAGGAATCCATGTAGTATGAACTTATAAGCAATATTTGCTGATACGGCAGTCATGTCATGCATATTATTGTGTTAGCTGTTAGAGTCGGTTCTGATCGGTTCCTACACATTTATTTATTCAAATACTAGCTGGCTTACCCGGCTCCGCCCGGCCCTGTCAAAAACGATAAAGGTTCAATTTCTATCCCTGTACACCTTTACCTGTGTTCACTTCTACGTGCGATTCCCTACTCCCTCTGTGTTAGTAATCAGTATGCTCACCTACCTTCCTCACCAACCCCCAGCTCAAACTTTGCAAAAAATCAATAAAATTGATAAAAGTAAGGATAATTCTAAAAACCGATGGCGTTATTCGGCTATCCGGACCCTAAAATGTTTTTGTGGTGGGTTTTGCTCAAACTCGGTATGTGTGGGTTAGTCAAGCCGCTGATGAGGAATTAAGTAGTCATAAAAATCATGAATCTGCCTGAAACCCTGGCAGGGAAATACTTAAAGTGCTGTTTCAAGAAAATCGTGCTTAATCCCCAGGATAACGGCAATTCGTGTGGTATAAAAGTCTCATACGACCGTAATGCTTTCCTTATAGGACCACTGCCGCGTGCGATACACGTTGGGACAGGTTATCAGGGTGGCGCTGGAGACCGCCAAGCAAAACAACCGTTTCCACATTTCGTGAATATCTGGGATCTAAATTGGCCCTAAAGCGAAAAAATGTCCATTCAAACCCTGCAACTCACCATAACTTCACTAATGCGTTATTACAGCGAGCAAGCATCATATTCATAAGTAGTAAACTTGTGAACCGTCACAGGTAAGGTTTTGAACAAATTTGGAACTTCGACCCATCTACATCCACCGTAACCCAAGAAAGCACTATCCTGCGAAATCAGCATGATACTCATGTTCAGCGCGCTAAATGACCACCCTAGACGAAGTTTGAAGCAAATCTATGTTTTCGACCCCATACCGTACCACCATAACTCTATGAAAAGGTCCCAATATGCAGAGAGAGTATGAAATTCGTAATCAGCATGTCGATTAAGTTCTCTGGACGAAACTCCAGCCGAATTCATGATTTTAACTTCCTACCGTACACCTA